TGAAATAAGTTCTCAGAACTTAAATTTTCATCTTAATGTGGAAATTCTGACTTATAAAAGGTACGTGTACTTACAGGGAAGGGGGGCAACTTAATTACATTAGCAAGCGATGTGTGTTTATTTTACTCCTCTCACTTGGCATATGTGAAACACTCTCAGAAATTTCCTAATTTCTAATGAAAATAATCACTGAATCCCATCCCTCAGAGGTTACATGCCTGTGCTGGACGTGAGTCTGAAAGTGATCTTAAATTACCAAAATTGAATCTGGTGCTGGTAGTAAGGATACAGCACAGCATTGCTCACTGCATATTGTGTGCTTTAGCTGAACATCATTTCAAGTTAGGGAGCTTCTGAATTTGGTGGTTAATGGCAAATTGAGATTCCCAATAAATAAACAGGTATTTGTGCGTTCTTGCTCTGTGAAAGCATTGCAGGCTCACAGGGCTTGAAACTGCCTCCCTTAGAAGGTCACTGCTGCCTGAGAAGGCAGCACTGGTGGATACTTCCAAACATACCAAGGAAGTGCAAAACACCTGGGAGCACTGACTGTACTTCACTTGACATCAGCTGAGCTTGTGCACTTATCCACACCCTGCTTCCATCTGCAGTTTCCTTCCTTCAGATCCCAAAACTCTTTGAAAAACCAAACAACTGCAATGATTTTTTTGCTATTTCTGATCCACTGATCTCAGCACTCCCCATCATTTTGTTTCCATTTTGCAGATGGGGAAGTTATGGACTTGTTCTAAGGGACTTGTCCTAAAGGCCCAGCAATTAAGAGCAGAGCTAGAGAATCCAGACTTCCCAGGTCCCCATCTAATACCCTGCTCAGAAAAGTTGTAAGCAGTCAGGCTTCCCCTTACCATTTTCACTTCTGGATATGTTGACTTTTCCGTGGTGATCTGTTCTACAGGGGATTCACAGTGGGAAAAGCTGCAGTGATGCACAAGATCAGCATGTCCTCTTCAAGGCATGTATTGGTGTTCTCAGTGTTTCACTTATGCCAGTTCTCTACCTGTCACTCTCACAAAGAGGGAATATCCATCAGTGTGGGACACTACGACTTTTCCCAATGGCCTGTGCATGATGACTACTTTGGAAGATTTGCCACAGTAATGTCTTGTTGAGTTCAACTCAAAGCAAATGGCCAGCTCATGAGCTTCCTTCAATTCTCTCTCCCACTCATCTGCAGATTTAGAAGCACACTAAACAGTAAAAAATGCATCCCTGTCGTATAGGGAGCTAAAGCGAGATGAAATCGTACCTTTCTTACAATACAACCATTGGGATCTATGTTTTAAAGAACAAGCCAAAAAATACACATTAATACGTGGAAGTTAAACAAAAAAAAGACTTCAGATTTTCTGTCTCTGAAGCCCTCTGAGGAGGGCTACTCCAATTTACATTAACTAAGCATTAATGTAATGTTAGTTAATGTAGTTAATGTAGCCTACATTAACTAAAAGCCCTCCTTTTATATAAAAAGTTGCAAGTTTTTCTGAAACCCACAGGCAATATTACTTTAAGAAGCACATCAGCTGAAAAGGTTTTGTCTAAGCCTTGATTTCTAGTCTCTCTTTCCATCTCTCAATGGTTAATATTAATCTTCAAAGTCAAAGTTCAATTCAGCTGACTTCTGGTCCCATAGACAGTGGCATTGAGAACTGGCTCTAAAAGCTGAAAGATAAGAGTTTGCATTCAATGTGCTGTGATTAGCTGCAGTAAAAAGAATACAGAACAGAGAATTCAGAGCTTGTGAGAGAAATAGACATCCATTATTCTTGACAAAACTCTGCTGGTCTAAGAACAATTGTTATTAGGAATGATTGTGCTGTATTATTCATTGTGCAACTTAATTTAGTGCAATCTACTTTTCATTATTAGCTTTAACTTACCTATAAATGTTAAATGCTGCTTCAATTTTAGCCATAGATTTTTCACCCACCTTGATACCAAACACGATGGGGCATCTGGGGCTTCCTCCCTGTGTGATTTAAATCACTGACGTGACTCTAATCACATCCTCTGGAAATAACTTCGAAGACAGTATCACTCAAGACACATTATAGTCTCCATTATAACTCCATTTTCTGTGTAGATTTGAGAAAATTCTCTTTGTGCATAGATTTTACCTCACATGAAATGCTTTAAACAAGCACTGGTCACGGAACACACAATTTGTATTATATCATCTCATACCAATATCATCATCTGGCTTATGTATTATGTATTATATATTATGTATCTCCTACTTTTTGTTTTTAAGTGTGAAATGGCCACACATATGCTAAAATAACACAGACATAAAATATCCCTTTTAAAGAAATAACTCACTGTTCAGGGATTGGAAAGAAAGATCAGTGAATTGCATAGCAGAAGATGTAGGTATAGTTCAGACAGAAAGAAAACATACTTGCTTTTGTCAGCCAGACTGACTTTATACAAGAATCACTTCAATCAGAACATTTTTACTTATTCTGCCCCCCTGAGAAAAGTGTCATCCATTAGTACAAAAAAAAAAGGGCAAGAAGTTGAAAGCTATTATTTACCCCACCCTCTAGATTGAGTTCTTATCCTCAAATGAACTTTATTTTTTGACCAGCTCACTAATTATGATTGAAAACACTGGCCCCTCCAAACAGCACATAAGTATTAGAGTTTGCAGCAAAAAGACAAGGCTTAATTGGTCTTTATACATAAAAGTGGAAACATAAAACTTCTAAATATAAGTTTCTGGCACATCTTTTGTTGCTATTACAGTAAAATAAGGTACACCAGAGTGAAATTCCAGCTGATTTGCACAGAAATCTGTGCCAAAGTGTTTTCTAGTGACTGCTCTTCAAAGCAGGAATGGAGGCACACAAATGCTATTGTGTGCAATTTGGAATTCCAAAATAGCCACTAAATCACACAACCTCCACTAGGTGAATAATGAAGTGGCACTGGGCCATCCTTTTTAATGGTATGTAGGATAAAATCCACAATTAGGAAATAAGAAGCAGGTTGCTGCTACGCTAACCTTTCTCTCTGTCCCACTCCTTTAGTTATTTCTGATTCAGCAAGGAACAGAAGCATGCCTACAAGCCAGCTAGATAGGCTTGGTCTCACTCTGATGCTGTATGTGGTCTCAACTGGCGGCATCAGAACTGACATTAGAAATCCCAGCTTCACTAAATGAACAGTGATTATCTGGATTCTGAATCTGCTAGGAAAGAAAAAAAAAAAGGCAGACAAAAAAAAAAAAAAAAAAAAACAGCTAAAGTCTTTCCCAAGAGCAATTGCCCTTTCTGGCAGGAAGGGGTAAAAATAGAGGCAGCTCATTAATATGGCTTGGCAGTGCTTAATGGCAGCTGGTCTGAAGAGCCAGATCAGTGGGCCTTTCCAGCAGTACTCCCGGACCGCTGCCAGCAGGTGTTGCTGTGTTCAACAAAATGAGAAGAAGTGGAGGGGTGGGGAGAAAAATATTTATAAAGAGAGAAATAGGTGTGAAAAAAAAAATTAGTCACTGAGTAAAGCTTTCATTAGGCCTTTGGTAAAGCTATACACGAATTCCCCGAGGCAACAAGGAGCATGCTCTGAAATGAATAATGCTTTTCACTTCTCCTAATCTCCTCTCAGAAATTATCCTGGCTATAAATCACGCACACGGTTGCTGTGCTCTGCGTTGTAGCCCTCTGGTTCTGCCACAGACCACACACCCTCCCCGGACCCCAGCCCTCGGCAGCCCCCAGCCTGATGCTTGGGTACAGAGCTCTGGTGCTCGTGGGGCAGATTTTCCACTCTCTATAAAACCAAGGCAGTACAAGATCTCTTGCTGAGCGCCCGTCTGCTGCCAAATGACAGCAGTCACTGTGCCACCAGTATGTAACTAATTTCAGAGGGGTTGAGGACGCCGGTTAGAACCAAATTCAGTTTGGTCCTGAGAAAAACAGAGTGCTGAGCCCTCTGTCAAAGCTTGGCTTTAGGATCCCCACAAAAGTGACTGTCCTGCACAGAAGTAGGTACGTGCATGCTCACGATTTGTTTCTTCAAGCGTGTCTCTCTCGCTGTCCTTCAAGGAGGAAAAATAAAAATAAAATGTTCTTTGCAACAACTGGAACCCTCAGTGTCAGACTGCAGGAAAACGAATGAGACCTGTTTCAAGAGGCTTCAATCCACAGCACGTTACAGCCTGAAAACTTATTATATGCATGTTAAAACTGGGAAACAAAACAACCTATCTGGTCATATGTTTCCCATTAACTCCCGATTTTTTGCTCATTCTACTAAAGCTGTTGTGTGAATAGAGCACATACTTCGGTTGGAATCAGTGCTGCTCTGAGTTCTCCCTGGTATCAGGGAGTTGAAAATTTTAAATCTGTCTTGCCTGATCCACAGCAGTCATATTCTGAGACAGATTAAATTCACATTACCAACAGGACATAAAAATACAATTGTAAGTACGATTCAGGCCAAAAAAAAAAAAAAAATCTGAAGGATGGGGATTTTCTGGTAATCAGTGGGTGTTTTGAATGAGTAAAGACTGCATGATCATGCCATTTGTCATAAACGGTACCACATAAAACCAGTTATTATGTGTGTTTAAGAAAGGAGATTGATTTTCAATTTACTTTTGACCTTATGTATATATATTAATTTTGTACTGCCTAATTGGCATACGGTAATTTTTGAGTTTCACTAATGTAACCTGAAATGAAAATTGAAGTGGATTTTATTTCACCTGTAATTCATTGCAGCTTATTTTTAGATGTCTAAATAGTTTTTAATAGTGATGTAATCTGCACGTCAAGAAGCCGTGAGACTTGGACATGAGCAATATGATTCATTTTTGAAGAACTTTAAAAGTATGCCTAAGTTAACAGAAGGACATATTTGTACAAAGAGTGAACTAAAAATTATATCCTCTGCAAAAGGATTCTTAACCAGATGCATTTTCCTGAATTTGAAAATAATCCAAATTTGCAGATAGATTATCTGGTATATCCTTAGCACGATAGCAGACTAAAACAATTTGCTAACTAGTAATTAAATATCTGGCAAACACTGCATTTGAACTAAATCAGTGTTATCTACATCTAATAATATCTATATCTAGCTATGCAATAAAACAAGTTGGAGAGTGTCTTCCTGACTCATAGTGTTTGCATTCAGTCTGATTTTAAGTTCTATTCTTTAAATGGATACAGAGATCACCACTACAAGTTGAATCCACGATATTTTGTCATGCTAGACAATTAGGAGTTTCCATTAGATAATTACCAGAAGTATGTCTCATACAGGAAAAACAGTCAATTGCTGATGTAACAGGATTAACCAATCCAGCACACTGATCCGGCCCACTTACTTTTGACAGACACTATATGTGAGTGTACACACGAGAAGTACAGTATAAAGCTTCGCATTATAAGTACCACAAAGAGGAACTTCAGCAGTTCTTAATGCACAATACAGCAGTCTCCTTCTCAGAGTGAGGACTAGAGAGGTAAAACTTTAAACCAGCTTTTTTTTTTTTTCTTTTAAAATTAAAACTTTTAATTCATGTGCATGCTGTTGCATATTGCTAGGGCGATGCTGGATGAATGTATATGCAGAGCTTTGCAGCTCAGGTAATTTTATGGAAAGATTCTGAACCATCGTTTCTGTATTTATTCAAACACTGTATTTTTAGACATGAACATATATGTATGTGTGCATGCATATTTGGAAGTATGAATGAACTCTCTATCAGTGGTACCAGCAAAATCGCCTTCAGGAAACAATGCTTTTAGAAAGTTATGCTTTAACATTAAATCTGTCATCACCATGGCATGCAGGTATGCTACACTATACCTGTGTGTAATAGATGTACCTGTTACATAGGCAAGCAACGCGCGCCGCACAGCAAGAACTCAAGTGCTCTGTCTGTCTTTTAAACTGAAAGATGCCTATCCCTTACTTTTCATCAGACACTTTTGGGATAGATACTGTATTAGAACTATAAATAACTCCTTTAATTATGTCATCTGTTAGTACATTTTATCATGAATGCGTATTTTCATCTGATTTTTTTTTTTTTTTTCTATGTCCAATTAAACTTTTAGTTCTATTTCAAGCTGACTTTCAGACTTCATATAATTACAACAGACTTTGGGCTGTTCACAAGATCCAAGAAATTTAGATGTATTATAGCGAGGTTTGTGTTACAAAGATGTGTTTATAAGAATGGCTGCAGGGTTTATAATGCTGACAGACCTGTAAGTGTAACAGTATATAACAGTATAGCAACTGAGGTCAGTAAAACGCAGATGAGGGTGTACTGTGAATGCCTTCTAACAGTGAAAGACTTATAAAATACCTTAATTGAAAAGGACTTGCAATATATAACATTTGTAAATTTTTCAATTACTTCTGTATGTTTCGCTTACTCTGACTATAATCCCTTGCCTGTCTCTCTGCCCGCGTGCCTGTAGCTATCTCACAGAAACGACTGACCTTACAATGCTTATCTTTATAAATTATTCTTTCCCACTAAAATACAATGCTTGATGGTAATATACTGAAAGTGAAATGTTTGCTTGGAAGGAGGTAAGCACACCTGAGAAGAAGACAGAGGTGTGTGTGTGAGAGAGAGAGGATGAAAGAAGGTAAATGCCAAAGAAGCAGAAGCTTTGAGAAAATCAGTACAAGTTTAAGTCCATGTGAAAGAACCTCAGAAGTTAAACTCCATCACTGTAGTTTTCTCTGTTTCTGTTACAAAGTCCAAATGTGAGGGAGTTTGCTAGCTTCGCCCTTGCTAAGTAAGGTGCAGCACAGAGATGCTGCTGAAGTTAAAGGCAGTATGAAGCCCTAAGAGAAACTTCCCATTGCAAGGCAGAAGCCTCATCGGAATAAACTGCTAAGGTTCTGCTGACATGGACTGGAACTCTGGCTCCTAGCAGTGCTTTAAGATTGCTTTTCACTCATTATGTCTTATTCTAATATTATGATTCTGTGGTTTAAATGAATGAAACAAAAAGTTCCTTCGAATAACAATGGGCCAAATGTAGAAGATCTTACTCAGTCTTCACTCAGACAGAATTATTGGCACTGATGAGGGATTTGCTTGAGTCAGGAGCAAGTACGATTTGGCCAGATGACATGTAATATGTTCCGTCTTCAAAGCATTTTTCAGACATTACTTGATTAATCCCAAACCTAAATAGGAACTTCTAGGCACAGACCAGCATAGCAGCAGGGATGTTTCTGGTTCCCAAGTAGTACCTTTGCATGTCACAGACCTGTGCCCTACCAGCTCCTCCTGCTCATGCTCTCAGTGCCTAGCTTGCATTCTGCAGCTGGAGAGCGTATCAAGTATAATAGAGCCCTCCAAACAACAGGATTATTTTGCTTCTGTCAGATCTCCTGCCAGTGTTGATAACCTCCAGCATTTACAAGTGAGCAGAAAAGATCTTTTCTCTTCCACTCAAGGCAGAACAGCGTTCTGCCCAAAATACTTTCAGCCCCTGCCGTCATCCCCATCTTGTTCACAAGCTATTTAAGATCTCCTGCTAACCCTAACAGTACCGGACAGGACAAGAGCAAGGTGCTCATTAATAAAAGGTTTCACTCTTCATTCATTCATGTTTCCTCTGTTTAGTTAAGCCAGTGATACTGTTGTAGGAATAAAACAAATGAGGAAAAAAAAAAGAAAAAGAAAAAGAAAAAGAAAAAAACAGCAAAAAGGAGGGGGATATGACAGCCAGGAGGGAGCCAGAAGGGTCAAACTGGGAAAAAAAAGAAGAGTAAATTTACAGGAATTAAGAGAGATTTTAGAGAGGAGGGCAGAAAGCCTGAGTAGTGATATTTGAAGAGAGGTGTGTGTTAGGGGAGCAATGAGCATAAGGAAGCCAGCCTGCCTGTTCCTCCCCCTTCCTAATCATAGCCTTTACTCACAGACAAAACTCCCTCCCTCTCCCATTCACTCACTCACTTTAGGCCAATCCGTCCTCTCCCTCTCTCTCCCTCTCTCTGTGTCTCTCTCCTACTCTGAGACAGAGTCAGAACTCTTCTCCCTGACAGCCACTAACATCTACAGCACTTATTGCATTCAGAGAGGGAACCTGCAAACAAAACTTCACAGAAAACTTTTGGTTCTTGTTCCAGAGAATTTGCTGAAGAGAAAGAAAAACAAACAAACAAACAAACAACACAAACCAGCCCCCAAAAAAACTGTGCGTGAAGGGGGAGGAAAAGCAGGGCCTTTTAAAAAGGGAATCACAACAACTTTTGCTGCCAGGATGCCTTTGCTTTGGAAGAGAGGATTTTTGTTGGTGATTTGCTGGATTATAGTGAGGAGTTCCCCAACCCCAGGATCCGAGGGGCACAGTTCAGTCACTGACTGTCCATCATGTGCCCTCACCACGCTCTCGAAGGATGTGCCCAGCTCACAGCCTGAGATGGTGGAAGCAGTAAAGAAGCACATACTGAACATGTTGCACTTGAGGGACAGACCTAACATCACCCAGCCTGTGCCCAAGGCAGCACTTTTAAATGCCATCAAGAAACTCCACGTGGGAAAGGTGGGAGACGATGGCTATGTGGAAATAGAGGATGATGTTGGAAGAAGAGCAGAAATGAATGAAGTTGTGGAGCAAACCTCCGAAATCATCACTTTTGCAGAATCAGGTGAGTGCTTAAAAACAAAGCTGTAAAATAGCCTATTTGCCAGAACTGCAATTAACTTCTTTTCTCCTCTGCAGCAGTACTGCTTTCTGCGAGGTTGTGAGATGAGACCTGGGGGAAGGGAGAAGGACGGATGGGATGGGGTGGGGGGGTGGGGGGCACTCTGGAGGAATTTGATTTTTCTGATTTAGTCTTGCCTACACATTACACTTGCTAGGCACAGGCAGACACACAGGGAAGAAGCTCTTTAACCAATCTCAAGCAGAAAGTCAGGCTGCAAAGGGGTGCTCCAAACTGCTTCTGAAACCAAAGTACTTGCACTAAAGTACTGGATTGCAGTGCTGATGGTGAAAGAAAAAGGGCTCAAGGCATTTGGGGATTTTCTAAGGACAGAAAAGTGAACTGCAAACTACTTGAAAAGCTGCCCTTTCTTTTAAAAATTATAGTGGAAGTTATAAAATCAGATGAAACAGCTTTAACTTTTAGGGCATTTTTGTTTTCTAATTTAACACAGCATCTTCGGCAATAAAGAGTTGCAGGGACTGTCAGATGACTTCAATAGAATTGGACAAGTTGCTGTAGCTGATCCAATTTGTAATGCAGACTTCTGCACGCTGTAAAAAAAAAAATTCTGCTCCTAAACTGTTTTTGCCAAAAAAAAAAAAAAAAAAAAGCGCAACCTTGATAGGTTATATTTTGAACTTTTTCACAGTTCTGTTTTTCCCTAACTCTTATATAGCAAGGGCTAAGAATGTAGATATTTACTAACTAATGGCTAAGGCTCACATCAACTATCGGAAGCAGCTTTAAAGTTGTAGTTTACTGTCTTGTTCCTACATGAATAGGACAAAAACTCATTTTAAATCAGTGTATGTGCATATGTATCTGTTTGCATATGTATGTTTATACATGCAACAATGTCATTATCCTGCAATAACTCTATCATCTAACTAACAGCAACTTTTTATGATGCTGTCTAGCCAAAGCATTTTTCCTGTTGCCAAGACAGTTTTAAAAGAATGTCATTGTTTTGTTTGGTACAGCATATGGTAGGCAAAGTATGCAAAGGAACACCAAGCATTTTTGTTTAAAAGTTTGCTGCAGCAGTATAAACAATTAAGACAACACTCAGAGTTTCCAGTCCTGAAAACCTGTTGACTCAGATGTTCTGTTTGCAGGGAAGCCATGCATAAGAAGTGTGCATGCTTTTAAGAGCAGACATTCCTGCTGCCTGTCCAATTTCCAACTGTACAGGGAGCCCTCGCCTTTGGCGTCCTTGTCAATACACACATTATCAGTTCCTTCAGCATGCAAGTTCAGGCCTTTTGGGGGGCTTTTTTTTTTTTTTTTCCATCCCCTCCACTTCAGAAAGCAGGCAGACATCAGTGCCTAGTGGTCCCTAGAAGCAGGGGTGGCTCAACCTTAGTTTAGAAATGAGCTTTTAAAAGCAATGAAATCCCTACGAGTCAGATTCCCCACCTGGTATTCAGCAGCTCGTTCTGAAACACATATGGCATGAGCAGTGGTTTCTCTTCCCTGTGTGAGTCCCAATCATTTGTAAACACATTATTGTCTCTCCTGAGCTCTCACACAAAGGAATTTGGAATTTGATATATGCCCACTCAGTACGACACCCTCCAACGGCGGCTCTTGAAGCCATTGGCTCTCAGGGCCACGTGAGCAGTGAAAATCATGCCCAAGCCCACAGGCTGGCCAATAGTTCAGCCACTGATCCCCCTGCTGCAACAACCCCACACCAGTGCGTCACTGAATTTGATTTACATAGTATTGTCCCATCACTGCTAGCCAAATTCATTTAAGAAGACTTATCTTATGGAGCATGTCTGGGACATATGCTATGTTCCTATGCCTTTCCTTCCTTGCTGTCCTCTCCAGCTCCCCTCCAAACCTGTCCTGGAAGGCTACTCCAGCCCCGCATCCCATACCTGCTAAGCTTTTATCTGGAAGAAACAATCTAGAAACTGAGTTTCTAGGTTTCACGGAAATGTTAACTCCAGTCTGTAGAGAGTCTTCAGACTGTTGAAACATTACTTTTCATCGGTAGCTGTTTGTAGTTGGAGCCTCACTAGAACTGGTCAACCCACCGTGCCTTGCAGGTTCCAGTGCTGCAATAACTTGAGCAAACTTTTCCTGGGCTTTCTTTCACTTCCCCACCAGCGGTATTGTGTCTCAAATATTAAAGCAATATTATTTATTCTTTTGAGGAAATTGAGGCAAGAAGATGGCAAGTGGTGTGTCAGATAGGAATTATTAGGAAAAAAAAACAGGAACATAATACAGCCACATGAGCAGTTACCAGTGTTCATTCTGTAGAAACTGGAATAAGTTGAAAGCACCAAGGAGGAAAACTGAGCGTGTTACTCTCACAGGTAGATTAAAGTTTTTCCTGCTTTTAATATGAAACTTGCTCTGTCTCCAGCGAGGGGATAGGAAATCAATGACAGTGAATGGAAGCACATCGCCTTATATCAAATAAGTGTCTACGGAAAGAGAAGTGAGACTTGAGGCTTTTTGCTCCTTTAGGTATAACTTGACATAGACCAGCCATTCCCCTTACTTTTCAGAAGCCATGTTTACTGCTTGCCTTAATAAAAAAGTATTTCTATCCTTCATCAGCTGTATCCTCAGACATACAATGAAATTGAGTGAATGAAGAGACAATACCTTGTGCATGTGGCTCTGGCTATTTTATAAAAGAGACTAAAATTCAGGTGAGCATAGGCTACAGACAATTAGGGGAGAAACTATGTGCAGTGAGCTTGTCTGAAGCACAGGTGTACTTACGGCCAGGAAATCAGCAAAATAGTTGGCAGGTAGTTTTCACAGCTAACAAATCCAGGCAAATCTTTGCAAAACTAATGACTGTATTGGGCAAAAGTTTGCAAATGCACCCTACTGTCCTTTGGCACTCTTACAAGTTAAACATGAAAAATGATTTTCTACTTGCATATCAAACTACAATTACTAACCTCGATTAGTTCTGCTATGAGGGTCGCTGTGCCAGAGCTCTGTGGGTTCCTTCAAGGACTTAAACATTATTTTGAGGAGAGGAGTCATCTGTATTAGTGACAAACAATCCAACAGGTTCTATAACTGAGATAGCCTACACTCATAAAATACGGTTGTCTACTAAGTCCTTCATTATTTTAAATAGATAGCTGATTAAGCAGACCTGGGATTTTTCCAAGTAAATTTGATCCTGGCAACTGAACTGCCAATGAAATGGGTTGCTAACGTCAGCCCCTGAAAAGTTGATGGAGTTACTGTGTAGAAACATGGAAATCCAAAGGCTTATCATTAGGTGAACTGTGATCTAGGATGAAATAAAAAAAAAAAAGAAAGAAAAGTGTGACAGCTATTTACATTGCTTCTGCTTTTTTGTAGCCCTTCACACAGTTGCAGGTGAACTGCCTTGATCATGTAATACCTACTTTTATTTTCAGCTATGCGTAGGTGCACACACTCACAGCTTTTCCTAGGAAGATGCCTACTCCTATAAAGCCAGGCTGGCAGATCAGGAGGAGGAAAAGGATGGGCCTCTCATGACTCTTTAAATCATTTCATCAGTTTGCGTTTGGAAGGCAGTATATTTAACGGTATGGCTATCTGTGCTGAATAAGGAATGGCCACGAGAGGGCACAATCCAAAGGCTTTTTGCTCCGTGTAGGCAACCTTCCTGCAAACTCCTATTGTACCTAAATGAATCCTGAATCCCAGAGATCTTTATGCTTATGTGTAGCTTCTCTGAGTGGAGCTCTTGTTTCTCTCTTCTCGGTTATTTAAAAGGCAGAGATTCACTGCAGTGGAAGACTGCAAGTAAAATAATGCACTGAAGGAAAAAGATAAAACTGATTAAATGATGGAAGCTAGAAGTTCTGCAAATCTGAAAAGATCAGAAATGTTCATTATTATTTTTTACCAGATTCTGTGAAATGTGACCGTGAATCATCATCTGAGCTGATTTTCTCATATCTTTTTTTAAAGTAGCTTTTAGAAAACAAGTCTCTTTCCCTTCAGTTGATTTTTTTTTCCTCCTTTAGCATACTTTGTCAAAGATTTCAAGTTTAGCAAATGAAAGCAAGTTACTTCCAGAAGAAGAATGCCATTCTGTATTAATCTGCTTCATTGTAAGAAAATGTGAGAATTCAGGGAGGCCGGTGAGCTTGAGAACAATTTGAGAAAGCATGGATGAATCTGAGAAGGTGGGAACCAGTTTATAAAAAGATACCTGAGAAAGGGAGAGAGAATGAAAGTTCTGCATGGGTCCCTGTCTGTGGTTAGCCATGCATAGTGTCTGGTACACAAATGTAGCTGGAAATACATGAGTATGTATTTGCTTGTATTTGTGTGGCATGAATATGCCAGAGAAGACACACTTACATACCTATGTAGCTGAACCTGCACCACTGGAATGGGAATAGATTCCTACATACAAGTATGTGCATTGATGTGACCTCCTGAATGCAGGATATACCTACACTGCACACCTGTGAATTTATGCTGAGCAGTTATATCGATATGAATATGAAAAAACAATCTCCTGCCATGCAGCAGAGTTCTGCAAGATGTAATTCAGAAGTGAGCCTTTGTATACTGAAAGTAGTTGGAAATTTTGCTATTCATTTCAGTGACCTCGTGACTCAGACCTTAGCACACAGAAATTAAGCATTCTAATGAAAAGAGAGGCTTCTGATGCATTTCATCTTAGAATTTAAAACAAAGCACTACAAGTGTGTACAAAAAAAAAAAAAAAAAATCTCTCTTTTCTGAAAGGAATTATTTGTATCTTGAAATATGTTATTGGTGCAAGTGACCCTAAACTTTCCTTTGGCTATTTTAGATGTAAATATAAAAATTAAATAACAAAAAATCTCAACCAAACAAGCACCTTTTTTATTTCTAAACATTGAAGACCATTTGGGGGAAGGGCTTTCAATTTGGAAGGTGCTTTAGACTGTGGATGTAAAGTGTTTCCCTCTTGA